GCCTCACTTTATTTGCAGATACTGTGTTGTTTTGAAGCTTTGTGGCAACTGTGCCTCAAGCAAGTCTGTCGGTGCCATTTTTCCAACAGCATCTGCTCACTTCAAGTCTCTGTGTAACATTTTGGTAATTCTCACAATATTTCAAACTTTTCATTATTATTATATTTGTTATGGTGATCTGTGATCAACAGTCTTTGATATTACTATTATAATTGTTTTGAGACAACACAAACTATGCCTATATAAATTGTTTTGAGACATCTCAATCTATGCCCATATAAACATTGTGTGTGTTCTGAATGATCCACTGACTAGCTGTTCCCCAATCTCTCTCTCTCTCTCTCTCTCCCTCTCTCTCTCTCTCTCTCTCTCCCCTTCAGCCTCTCTGTCCCCTGAGATACAACAATATTGAAATTAGGCCAATTCATAACCCTATAATGGCCTCTACATGTTCAAGCGAAGGAAAGTTGCATGTCTCTCACTTTAAGTCAAAATCTAGAAATGATTAAGCTTAATAAGAAAGGTATGTCAAAAGTCAAGATAGGCCCAAAGTTATGCCTCTTGCACCAAACAGTTAGCCAAGTTATGAATGCAAAGAAAAAGTTTTTGAAGGATATTAAAAGCGCTACTTCTGTGAACACACAAATGATGAGAAAAGGAAATTGCATTTTTGCTGATGTGGAGAAAGTGTTAGTGGTCTGGATAGGAGATCAAATCAGCCATAGCATTTCCTTGAGCCAAAGCCTGATCCAGAGCAAAGCCCTAACTCTGTTCAATTCTACGAAGGCTGAGAGAGGTGAGAAAACTGAGGAAGAAAATTTTGAAGGTAGCAAAAGTCAGTTCATGAGGTTTAAGGAAATAAGTCTTCTTCATAACATAGAAGAGCAAGGTGAAGCAGCAACTGCTAATATAGAAGCTGCAGCAAGTTATCTAGAAGATCTAGATAAGATAATTAATGAAGGTGGCTACACTAAACAGATTTTCAACATAGACAGTACAGTTTTAGATTGAAAGAACATGCCTTCTAGGACTTTCATAGCTAGAAAGAAGTCAATGCCTGGCTTCAAAACTTCAAAGGACAGGCTGACTCTCTCATTAGGGGCTAATGCAGCTGATAACTTAAAGTTGAAGCCAATGTTCATTTACCATTTCAAAAATCCTAGGGCCCTTAAGAAGTATGCTAAATCTATTCTGCCTATGCTCTATAAATAAAACAACGGAGCCTAAATGAGAGCGCATCTTCTTACAACATGGTTTACTTAATATTTTAAGCCCACTTGAGACCTACTGCTCAGAAAAAAAGATTCTTTTCAAAAATATTACTGCTTGTTGATAATGGACACGGTCACCAAGGGCTCTGCTGGAGAGTCGTACAATGTGATTAATGTTATTTTCATGTCCACTCACACAACATCCATTCTGCAGCCCATGGATAGTGGAGGAATTTCTACTTTCAGTTCTTATTATTTAAGAAATACATTTCGTAAGGCTATCACTTCCATAGATGGTGATTCCTCTGATGAATCTGGGCAAAGTAAGTTGAAAACCTTCTGTAGATGATTCACTCTACTATATGTCATTAAGAACATCTGTAATTCATGGGAAGTGGTCAAAATATCGACATTAACAGGATTTTGGAAGAAATTGATTCCAACCCTCATGGATGGCTTGGAGGAATTCAAGACTTCAGTGGAGGAAGTAACTGCTGATGTGGTGGAAATACCAAGAGAACTAGAATTATAAGCAGAGCCCGAAGATATGACAAAATTGCTGCAATCTCAGGATAAAATTTTAACACATGAGGTGTTGCTTCTTATGGATGAGCAAATAAACTGGTTTCTTGAGATGGAATCTACTCCTGGTGAAGATGTTGTGAAGATTGTTGAAATGACAACACAGGATTTAGAATATGATATAAACTTTTTTGATAAAGCAGCTGCAAGATTTGAGAGGATTGACTTCAATTTCGAAAGAAATTCTATTGTGGGTAAAAATGCTATTAAAGAGCATCATATGCTACAGATAAATTATTCCTGAAAGGAAGAGTCAATTGATGCAGCAAACTTTATTGTGGTTTAATTTTAAGAAATCACTACTGCCACGTCATCCTTCGGCAACTATCACCCTGATCAGTCAGCAGCCATCAACATCAAGGCAAGATCCTCCACCAGCAAAAAGATTATGACTTGGTGAAACCTCGGATGAAAGTTAGCATCTTTTAGCAATAAAGCATTTTTATTTTTAAATACTTTTTAAATATTTCCATTACAGTTGGCATACAATATTATACTAGTCTCAGGTATACAACACAGAGATTAGATATTTGTATCAATAAACTATTTTAAAATTAAGATGTGTACATTTTTTTAGACATAATATTTTGCATACTTAACATGACACTATAGTGTAAACATAATTTTTATATGCACTGGGAAACCGACAAATTCTTGTGACTCACTGTATCATGATATTCACTTTACGGGGATGGTCTGGAACTGAATCCACAATATCTCCAAGGTGTACCTGTAGTGGAACATTCAGGCTAGGTCCACCTGAATTCACTGATCAGCCTGAACATCACTACGTGTTGAACAGTATGTACCTCCTGATGTGATGCAATAGGAAGAATACAGAATAAGTACCTTTTCATATAAAAAAAAAAAAAAACACATTGTACTGGTATCCAATGAAGCCTTTAGAGCCAACTTATGGTTTCTAGTTACGTTATACTTATTCCTCTAAAAGAAGAGCAAACTAAGTGACAACACAAAGATGCAAACAGGAAATGAGAATGTAGGCATTCAACAGTACAAGTGACCTGATTTCTTCGACAACTCAATAGCATGGAAAAGAGAAGAGGGAGACTGTTTTAAAGTAGATTGAAGACACATATCCAAGTGCAATGTGTGCATCTTGTTTTGATCTAGATTTAAACAAATCAAATGAAAGAAGGTATTTTTTGAGATAGCTGAGGAAATCAGAATATGGACTAGGTGTTAGGGGACATTAAATAATTATTATGAATTTTGATTAGTGTGAAAGTAGTAAAGTGGTTATGTTTTTTAAGAGGACACTGAAGTATATAGGATAAAATGACATGATGTTTGAGATTTGCTCTAAAATATTTACAGAAATTAAAAAAAGAAGAATGTATAAAGCAGGTATGGTAAAGTATGATAATTTTTGATTTTGAGTGATAAGTATTTGGGGATTTGCTATGTAATTCTCTGTACTTTTGTGTATTTAAATTTTTTTAAAGATACAAAAAAAAAAAAAAGGCAAAGGACCCAGTAGAGAGAAATGACGCTCAAAGGATATAAACAGGTATTTACAGAAGAGAAGATACAAGCGTACAATAAACATTTGAGACGATATCCAGTTTCACCAGTAGTCAGGGAATTGTAAATTAAAACAATAAGGAGATACTATTTTTTATTCAAAAGATTGACAAAAAGTTAAAAGAGCAGGACCATCTAGTTCTGACCATGCTGGAAGGTCAAATCACCTCCATCTTACAGTATTTATTAAAAGTAAATATGACATTACACACAATAATATTCTGTAGAGATAATAGTACCAGAAATTAATGATCTGTATGTGAGGATGACAGAAGCAGCACTTTTTGTATTAATAAAAATTATTTTTTTGAAAAAGAACCTGAATTATCATAAAGGAATGGTCAAATAAATTATGGCTGATCTATACCAGGGAATGCTATATATTTTTTAAATTAAAAAATCTTTTTTAAAAATAATCGAACAATGTATGGTAGTACAAAAAATAGAAAGTACACATGAGAAAAAAAAGAGAAAAATCATAATTCCAGACCTGCAGAGATCACCTTGGAATATATCACTTCAAGTATTTCTGTGTGTGTCAGTGCGTGTGTGGGAATGCATGCATATGTATGTATACTTGTTTTTCCAACACTTAGTTTTCCAATAAAAAGGTATCACATTACACAGTATGTTGTAACCTCTTGTTTCTTTCATTCTCTCATGAATATTTTCCACATCAATGTTCATCGACAAACATGACCTTTAAGAACTGCACAGTATTCCATTTTATGGATACTCTGTAACTTAAGCAATCTCTATTTTGAGGTATTTAAGCGCATTCCAATTTCTTCTTTTGTAAACAGCCTCAGAGCAGGCTTGCCAATCTTTGAAGATGATTTGCCGATTGCCTTGTGGAAAGTTCTGGGTGCTTCTGGAGACATCTGAGCCAAAGTAGTCAGAATTCTTTACCATCACCCAAGCCTGCTATCTTCCCAGATAGCACAACTGTGGTCTTTAGAAATTGTAAGACCTGTCTTATCCTGCCCGTTAGTCATGCCGCCTAACTGGAACTCTGTTCCAGAAATCCTTAAGCTCTCTCCCTCCTTTTGCCTCATTGCCGCCCCTCCCCACGCC